AAAGAAAATAACGAAGCCCACCAGTCAGTGGGACCAGAAACACTGACAGTGAACACTGGCTGTGGTTTTATTTTGCTGCCATGTGAAGCACTTTATAACTTAGATTGTTGACAAGTGCTTGATAACTAACGATTATTATCTTTACTATTGCATACTGCAAAGGGAACATTGTCATTTTTTAAATATTGCAGACAGTTTATAAAGGTTTTGGAAAGGTGCTTCAGTTTTATGGTTAAAAAGTCTTGACATAAGTGTAAAGTAGCTCCTGACATACATCAGTCTGGTTTGGACACACCTGCCCCATAGTCATTGAACAGGTTTTCTTTATTTTTGCTAATTTCTCAGCGGTGGTCATGAGTTCTGGGTAGTGATTGAAAAGAATGGATACAAGCAGCTGGGCTCAGGCTTAGAGAGAAGTTGAGGAGCTGAGGTGGTTCGGACGTCTGATGAGTAGGGCAACGTAAATGGTAAATGATCTGCACTTATATAGCACTTTTCTACCTTCGTGGCACTCAGAGCGCAAGGCACCTGCCTGCCATTGGGAGCAACTTTGGGTTCAGTGTCTTATCCAATGACACTTCAGCTGTGGAGGGGCGGGGGATCGAACCACCAACCTTGCAATCAGAGGACAACCACTCACACAGCCACAGCCTTTGGTGGTTACCTGGGCAGCTGGGAGGAGACCTGAGGGTGGACCAGAGCTCACTGGAGAGGCTACATAGCTCATCTGGCCTGGGAACGCCCCAGGATCCTCCAGGAGGAGCTGGAAAATGTTGCTGTGGAGAAGGACGTCTGTAATGACCTGCTTCGCCTGCTGCCACTGAAACACGACCCCAGATAAGCAGAAGAAAAATCATGGATGGGTTTTAGATTCCTCAAAGTCTCCAGTGTTTGCCTTGAGGACGGCATTGCACACTGTTGACAGTATCTTAAACCTTCTTTAATAATAATCATAACTACACAAGTGCTGCTGATAATGATTCATATGTAAAAGCCAAATAACCAACACCAAGAATTTGACACGTACCAACCCAAGAGCAGCACAGCGTCGTCTGTGTTTCCCCTCATTCCCTCCTCTTCATTCAGCGCTCCTCAACAAGGAAAAGCCACTCTGAAGGTAATCAGTGAAGCTTTTACCAGCTTCATGAAAGAAGTGACACTATAGGTCATTAGTGCAAGCAGCTTATTAAGACCCACAATCATGAAACGACTCACACAATTATAAAGGAGCAAAGCAGGAAATGAGGTGACATCGTTATAGCCATAAAGTCTGAACCGTAGGAGGTCGGGGTGGATGGATGGGTCACCTGAAGGTGTGACTTCAACATGAGTCGGTGCTGCTCATTCAAACTGGTGATCAGTGTTGCTTTTATCCATTAATGTTCCTTTACAGAAGGCCTTTATTTATCCTGAACCCTGATCTTTCCAAGCTGTTCTTGTACCTAAATCTAACCAAGCAGAGGTGAAAATATCTCTGTGGTGCAGCAGAGCTCTGCCTTGACAGTCTGACCCTGTAGGATTAATCAACGGTGCACAGTCATGTGAATGTTAAAGGAAACAACAGGCATGCTCCTGGTGCTCCTGACCCCATGTGCCTTTTCTGGT